AGCCTGCAGCGTCAGCGCGGCACTTAGATTTCGTACCGCGGTGCCAGCTGGGGATGTCATCGCCGGCAGGGCCCCTTGGGTTGTCCTTCCTGATGTTGGGGGCCCCCGCGGTACCCCCCTGGCCGATGTCCGGGCCAGGGGGCCCGTCTTTGTTGCGCACTTCTCGGCCGGCACACTTGACGCTCGAGTACGGCTCCTGGTATAAGGACCCCCGCTGGATGTCGTCGGGGGGGTCCTCTCGGGCGTCATCCTCCTCGCGCCCCCCAGACCGCCGAAGGATGGTGATTCGGCGGCCGGAGACCTCCTGGGAGGCGCACGTGCCGGCCTAGACGCGCCGCTCTTCACGAGAGGCACGCTCGTTGATCGCCGCAAATTTCGGATATTATTGGACCCCGCCTGGCTGGTGGTGGTTGGCGGGGCCCCTGCGATCCTCCTCGATGTCGTTTCGCCCCCGCTGGATGGTCTGCGGGGGCTTTTGCGTGCCTCTCTTGACGCCATGTGAGACGGGCTTCTCCTATTGGCCGCGCCATTTTGTCTAGTGAATCCGCCATTACCCTGTGGATGCGCCATAGTGGCGGCCGACGTCCCTCGGGCGGTGCTCAATATGGCGGCCGTCATGGCGGCCGATCCTAAGATGGCCGCACTTGTTGATGTTGTGGCCAGCGACGAAGATGGTGGACGTGTCGCTGGCCCCGCTGCTGTGACGGCCGCGTATGAGGGGGACTCTCCTGCTGTTCCTGGTGGTCGGGAGTATGTTGCTGCTGCAGATGATGTTGCAGGTGGTGTGATTGTGGACGTCGTTGCAGGACGACCGAACATGGCCGCGTAACCTGCGAAAAAGAGTTAAAATTCGCCGGCGTTCGCGGCGGGTGACCAGGCGTCCGCCGCAGCCCCACCGGCGCCGGACTATCACCCTCGCTGGAGCTGCCGCCCCACCGCCTCCTCGCTCTTCTTCCCACGCGCCTCCTCCACGGCCCACCTGAGTCCCCCTCGTCCTCCGATGGTGGTGAAGGTAGCGCCGCTCCTGGTTGCCGCCGCTCTT